ACAGATTGTCATTTTACAAACTTGCAACACTGTCAAATTTTTAATTATAATAGTCCATTAATCACATGTTAATTTCTTTAAAACAAGAAACCAACATTCATCTTTACAACATTCAAACACTACAAAGAGAGAAATCTACTAAAAATGAACACTATCACTTGAGAAAGAAGTTACAACTTTATTTTATTACTGGCAGCCATTTTGAGAAAGTTAAATTATGTTGTTCCATTTTCAAAATAGAATTGCCACCTTCGTCAATATAAAAATTACTATTCGAGTCTGCTTGTTGCAATCACAAGACTTCACCAATCACTTTGATTATAAACATAGATCAATCATAAAAGACACAAATTGTTCTCTAAAAAGAGATAAACACGATCCATCACTAACAGTTTCCTATAACTACTTCATACGCAATATATCACAAATTTACCATTTTGTATTTCAAGTCATAATCATGCATTTTATTTTACACAAATTGTAGCCGAAAAAAATTAAATACATGTCTTAATAGTCTATTAAGAATATTTCTACCATTTCCAAAGTACTGTTAAATCTCCAATAGGAGAAAATATTTTTCACAGTTTCATCTGTGCGTTGATCAATCTGTCAATGAATTTTCCATTTTATACATAATATAATTATAATACTATATATATAACTTAGCCTCGATGCAGCCTATATCCGATGTCATTACAGTATTCTCTTTTCTTATACCAACTATCAATACCACTATATAAATGTTCAAATCCTAATATTATTTATACATACACATTTGAATATTAACGAAAATGTCAATAATATCCACCATGTTACTTTCAGTGTTAACAAAACTTGTCAATATTAAAAAACAAGGCAGTCCGACAGTCCTATTCGAGTCCGTTCATTTTACACTTAAGTGTTACCAGTCACTGAGATTCCTACCAAAATGGTAGTAAAATATTTTGTGCTAATACAAAAAATGTAAAACTATACGATTGATGTAGACGATATAATTATAAATGTACACATATGTCTTTTAGAGATTGTTACAATATTCGAGAACTAATATATATAGATGCTATACAAACAACTGTATACCATCTTGGCACTTTAAAACACTTTATATACTAAGAAATATTATATATTAACCATGTCTGTAGGACCTTCGATAAAATACGTACGCATAAAAAAAGAATAATAATCTTTATAGATTAAGCAGAATAGAATAGAAAAATTGCCTAGATTGATATGTCAGCATGGCATTTAGGCTTACATAAACAAAATGCATTTAAGCTATAAAGAAAATATATAATAACCTTACTCAGCGCCATCTAGTCCAAAACTAAGCAGTACTTTTAATTATACTATATAAATAGTAACAATAAATATTTAAGAAGAAACACATGCAATAACAATTATACGGGGATCGAACTCACAACAAATGGAAAATGAGACAGTGTAAATCATTTAGTGTTTCTAGTGTCAAACATCTGATACAGCTCAACACCATCCATAGGAGAATTCAAGACAAAAACTACACCGTATCTGAGAGACTTTATATCAAGTCGTTTCTACAGACCACTCATAACATCTCTTAATTGCAGAAATAGTACACAGTGTATGTGAAATGCTGACTTTGGTTTGAGACTAGATGGCGCTGTCTATCCCTTCATAATTAAGAAATATAAGCAGTACGTATTTTAAAGAGGTCCCAAGCGATCTACTTTGTTTAATTTCACAAAAATTATGTATAAATATATACATAATTCTAGACGGAAGAAAACGGCATTATCGTAACTTGCAAACCCAATTTTATACCCGAGCCAAAAAAACTGTTTCAAAAATTCAAAACTCATATAGTAAGAGAAAGAAAGTTGAAAATGGGTTAAATAGGTAACAATTTTTTTTATACCACTGTGGTGGCAAACAAGCATGCGGCCCATCTTATGGTATATGGTTATCGTAGCCTTTGGACGCATGAAACATCAGGGGTGCGCGTTGCCGACCCTTAAGAAACCTTAATATACCCTTCTTAAAAAACCCCATGCTGTAGTATCGTGAAAAAACTTTCTATTTCTATGTTTCTACTAACATGTATATATATGTATGAGAAATGAATTTTTGAAATATGTGAATCTGAAAGAATTTTTTAGTTGGGTTTTTAAAGTTACTACCAACCCACTATCTTCGGTCTATATATAAATGTATAACAATTATATAAGGAACATATTGTAAAAATACAACCATTATATTGCTGCCTATGTTTGCAGATATAATTTATAAGATTCTATGACAATAATTGTAGAGTAATTTAAAAAGGCAGTGTAGAGGTCTACATTACATTTAGAAATAATATATAGAATTATTTCATTATTGATATATGTATATATATAAAAAAGGTAAAAAGAGATCTCATATATTGAATATCTGAGATGATATATATATGAAATAACTCTTTTTACCGTGCGGCAAAAAATGTAGCGTAACGTTGATGGCGATTAAATTGATCGTTAAAAATTCTACGCTATTAAATTTTAAACAATTCGATACATCACATATACTAAAATTATTCGGGTATAATACCAACTTTGTAAATTTGTAAGAGGTATAGATTCATGTGAGTCGACAGGAAACATCAATTGCTTTAATTTTTGTATGTAAATTAGTATCCATTCCGACTACCGCAGGTGGTTTCGTTATCATACGTTTTTAGTGGCTTAACTTTACGAGTTCGGTTCCCGGTTTTTTACGGACGACAATTCAAAGAATATTCAAACACATATACTATCTTATCTGGAGTAAAAAATTCAAAGTTGAAGGACTGTCATATACTACAACTTTTAGCCCTTGCTATATTATATTAGAGGGTGAATTTCATATCAAATATCAATAACCTCTTCACATTTGTCTTGTCTTGTATACACAAGAATCTACTGTATATATTTGGTTTATACAGTATTTTCCATTCATTTTAAGCCAATTAGTCAGAATCTTTTTACAAAACTGTAGTTCTTACGTCAAAACAAAAATGATCTTTATACCATTGAAATAAAATATAAAACTGCATTGCAATTGTCATAAAATACTAAACGAATGTTCCTCAGTGTATTGAAAACTATTAAAAGTACACCCGAGTGTACCTAACTATTTTCGTCGGCTGCAGAAATTGTTATAATGGATATAGTCTTATATAGACACACTTAGAGAACTTATCGAAATCTCGTTTTTACGTTCTGTGTAAATTATTAAAAACAATTTCATAGGAGCTTTTATAGCTACTTATAGTATTGTACAAAAACAAGTCTGTTGTTTTATGAGATTTAAAAAATCAGACGAGTTTTCAGTGACCGCTTTAATTATATATATATAGTAAGTGTTGTAGTTATATATACATAATATAACTACAATTCACAGTAGTCTTGTTATCACTTACTAACAATCGTTCATACCTAGTTAATTCATTATTGTTCTAGGTATGCACCTAGAACAATAATGAATTAACTCAAAAATTTCAATTTTTGTAAATTAGACTTTAAAGTTACTACTTTAGAGTATATTTTCTAAAGTAATTTCTGAGTTAATCCTAGGTTTGGGATATCTTACATATATTTGTTGTAAATTCCCGTACAAGCATGTTTGGGACTTTAGGAATTAATATCTAATTTCTTAACATTCTCATGTATATATCACGCACATTATACAGGGTGTGACGGAACAAACTATATGTCGAAATTCTACTCTCTAGTATAGCAAAACTGTATAAGTTTCTAAAAAAAAAAAACGTAGGGCGATGGAAATATGAAACATTCTTAAACACAGATAAACAATATTGTAAAATAACAATTACCTTATGTTTTATTTTATGTATCAAAACATATTATTATTATACATTTTATTATATAATATAAGATATATTTAAAAATATTTACATACTTCTATCCAAATCATTTTCAGAAAGTCCCTTTTAATGTTTTGCTAATTGTCGAATTATATCATTTTTGTCCGTAACAACCTGTATAAAGCTCTCCTTATACAGGGTTAGTCATAATGGGTATACCGAACCGAAACCCAATGATCAGGGTTGCCAACCTTAAAACAAACCTTGTACGAATTACTCAAAAATTTCGTATATTGAAATCAAAATGATTGTGTATTAAATATAATAATAATATATTATAGTACATATACTATATGTACGATTTCTGTAAATCAAAATCTCGAACTAATTAAAATGCCCTCGTATAGAGAAAACAAAAATATCGTACAGTTAACATCCTCATCAGTAGATCATGATCATGAAAATGATCATATTAAACTTAGTTGAAATCTCGAAATAGAATTAGAGATTTTGAAATTGGATTGAAATCGATATTGCGATTAGACACCCGAGTAGAGAACTTGTAGAGAATGCTGTTAGCATTATTAATATAGTTAATATTCAACAGAAATAAATTTATGGTAAATATGATATACACTATCTCGATGTATTGAATAAGTTGCACTAGCCTTGGTTATTAAATAAAATAATAATATCCCAAGGCAATTCACACACCGTTATCTATTCCCAAGCTAATTGTGTTAAGGTTACTTGACAAGTGATACATTTTTTTGTATATGCATACCTAAAAAAAACCTAGGAAACAAGAACGCTACAAGAAGACGCTAATACAAACAATCATATTCTTGAATACGAATATTTGCATCGTGCGAGGAATCGAAACTGCGACCATCGAAATTAAAGCGATGTGCTAAACCGCTGGACTCGACGTCGTTATATATATCTATACATATTAAATTCGATTAACTATATTAACAATGCTAACTAAACGTGAAATGCTACCTCCCTTAATTTCCATATATCCACTTCTAACCCTGTATATATATGTATCTTATATCAAATATCTACATACAACGTAGTATGGGGGTGTCGGGGACGCGTGTGTGCGTCAGGCTCCGACGATGGCGACGGTGGGCCGGGGGTGCGGCGGGGGCGGCGGGGGCGGAGCGGGGGCCTGACGTCACGCGCGCGGCGCTGGCTTCTCGCCCATGCACTTAGCCAGCTCCGATATAAGCTCACTGCAACATGTGATGAAAAAACGTAATGTGAATCTCTCTATGAAATGATATATGAATACTAGTCTATGAAAGAAGTGTCTGGAGTTTTCCACTCCGTCCGAACGCACTCGAACCATAAGCGGGTTGAGTCCGTTCGGACGGAGTGAAAAACTCAGTATGGTCAGTATGGTCGATTATGTACCGAAGAGACATACACTTAAGCGACAATGCCGCCTGTTCTTATTGAACCCTATGACCCCATAACGGCAACCAACCTCCCACCTACCTGAAATACTAATAAGTCGCTCTACGCTCTGTCTCATCTATTTCGGTGTAATATTCATTTTGCTATTCATATATATAGACTATATAGGCAACGATTACCACTTAACATTAGGCGTTCCGTTTGCTTGTTTGTCCATCCAATTAAAAAATACAGAGAACTTAAAATTAAATAAATCACATTTAAATCCCAAAGGTCACCAGCGAGGACTTAATTTTAAAAAATAAACCCGTCGGTCACCTGTAAATGAGCGGGTCCATGTTCCTGGAGAGCACGTAGAGGACTTAAACTTAAATAAACCCATCGATCACCTGTATATGAGCGGGTCCATGTTCCTGGAGATCTTGGAGAGGACTTAACATTAAATAAACCCGTCGGTCACCTGTATATGAGCGGGTCCATGTTCCTGGAGAGCACGTAGAGGACTTAAACTTAAATAAACACGTCAGTCACCTGTATATGAGCGGGTCCATGTTCCTGGAGAGCACGTAGAGGACTTAAACTTAAATAAACACGTCAGTCACCTGTATATGAGCGGGTCCATGTTCCTGGAGAGCATGTAGAGAACTTTAAACTTAAATAAACACGTCAGTCACCTGTATATGAGCGGGTCCATGTTCCTGGAGAGCATGCAGAGGACTTAAACTTAAATAAACCCGTGGTTCACCTGTATATGAGCGGGTCCATGTTCCTGGCGAGCATGTAAAGGACTTAAACTTAAATAAACCCGTGGGTCACCTGTATATGAGCGGGTCCATGTTCCTGGAGAGCATGCAGAGGACTTAAACTTAAATAAACCCGTGGTTCACCTGTATATGAGCGGGTCCATGTTCCTGGCGAGCATGTAAAGCAGCCACCAGTCGCCTAGGTCGGTGCGCCGCGACACCGCCACAGCCATGTCCATAGCGATAGTGCGCGAGCGGGCGTGTAGTAGCCGCGGACGGATCGACGGCATCAAGATTATCACCAGCCTGATGATTACAATATATGTCGTGATACAGTGGTCTAAATTCTACCACAATCCTATCGAACCCACGACCATCGGAGGCAAGGGGGTGTGCGACCAATGAGTAAAAAGAAAGTAAAATTTTACAGGGACGAAGTCTTGGGTATCATCTAGTATTGTCTTAATGTTAATAATATTATAAACGCGAAAGTTTGTAAGTATTGATGTTTGTTACTTTTTCATGCAAAAATCAAATCAAAAATCAAAATCCGTTCAGTTCAGGAACGGATTTTGATGAAACTTTACTATATAGCTTATGCATCAGAATAACATATAGGCTGTATTTTATGTTGAAATTTAACCGCAAACACAGCTAGTATATTATAAAAAAAACATACCTGTACACAATGAGCAGACATAACACCACAAGTAGTATGATGTACCAGAACCAGAGGAAGACGTAGGTCTTCTCGTTGACTATGTTCAGCGGCAGGATGCAGAGGCTGTCGTGCGTCTGGATGCCGCCGGACGCGCCAAACTTGTGGAATGTACACTTCGTCACCCTCGGGAACACGTATATCATGGGATCATATCTGAAACATTACAAGAAATGGATTTAATGGCAACCCATGAGCTGTTTAATGCGGGAGAATACAAGAAGAGATGTGAGGGGTAATTTGTTTACTATTTTTTAGACAGTGGAGCACTGTCTGTGTTGCCAAGCTGTAACGTAACAGTGCTTACATATAATAATTTGCTTGTGGCTTTAAAGGATATTGGTTGAGTTTCAGTATTTAAAAGTAAATTAATGTTATGGTTTCCTAACAAAAAATATTATAATTTAGACAATAAATAACTGTGACTATGTTTAATGAATGATAATGACTGCTCTAATGGTATACGCTGGCGGGGCACCAATGGAGGATGATGAAAATGTGGTCAGTTAGTTCAGTTCGCCCATCACCAAGAATTTATCACGATGGTTTCTAGGGGGAGGTCAAATTCAGATTTTCGAGTGGAGGTCACATTGACATGGTACATTGCTAGCAATGAGTTCATTAGTCCACATTACTAACAATCTCCATATCCCCTACTGTCTACGTTAAATTGTTATAAATAAAAAGTATATTAAAGCGTCGTGCCTTGGGAGAGGCCTATGTCCAGAGTGTGTCCAGATGTAAGTGAGACTTTGAATGGCAAAATATGGCATTGAAAATATAGGATAATGAGGTATAAGACCTTACTTCTGAGCGATGGTAACGTATGGTAGATACCATAAGCATACCGATGTACTTTTTATATCCCTAATACTAAACATATTGTTGTGCTGCTGTTATAAGTGCCATTCAAAATTTTATAGAAGAAAGAATAAATCACCTCTCTTCCTGCGGCACCTCGCTATAACCCAGGACCCTGGTGCCGTACGACAGGAACTCGCCATCGAAAAAGCTGTCCATCATCCATAGCTGCAAGCTGATGTTGATGAGACACAGCAACTCGCAGCCCCAGTACCTCAGTGCGTAGAATTTGTGCATCTGTAACGAAAGAAATCGACTAATAAGTTACTTGAATATTGTGATCACATCTTTTTAAATATCTATAATAGTGACACTAGTAGCACTGGTACAATGTAACAGATTATGTGATCGATCTACAGTCTAATTCAAACGGGGATCGAAATTACGACGATCTGAGCAAAAATTCAAACTCCTAGCGGTGGCCTCGAACTAAAATCGTATCTGTCAGGTAGGAATTGGCCTTCTGGTGGTCCAAGTCCTTCCGCGGATTTGGAGTGCCATCTGCATTCGCCCCTTATCGTTTGATTATATCAGCTGTACTAAACCGCTAGACCATATAGGCTGTCAAAACTTCATCGTCTTATCATTCTTCAGTGCAAGCTAGGTTCACCATTTTAACATTAATACTTTAAAAACAAAATGGTTTTCTGAGACAATGCGTGGAGGTTGACCTCGATATGTATATACCACCAACAATATTGCTAGTATAGTGGGTCCAATAGTCTTCAATACTTCAAACAAAAAAAAAAGAAATTTAACTTACTTCCAATGATTAGATATGAAAGATTCCGTCGATTTTCGCACGGTACGTACAATTGTATTCATTAATTTGTTTGTTTGTATCGGCCTATATTTTCCAAGTATCTTACGCATGTATTTATAAATAAATGTATCTAAGCATTCTATCAGTTGTCTAGTACCCATAACACAAACTCGGCTTTTTTTTTATTTAGAGTATTGGACTATTATCAGGTGCTTCTCTACTTGTGGCACTGTGACCTACATAGATCTATTGTGCTCGCCCTTTTTCCGAATTCGCTACCTAGTCAGGGACAAGAATTGAATGATATTCTTAGGAGAGGTTTTTATCTTGACAGGATAGAGTGTAAACTTCTCAAAGGAGATATTACGAATAAGCTCGGCTTAGCTTGGGACTAAACGGCGCTGTACGAATTGTCTTAAGATATTATTCCATTCATGCCTGTTTATTCATTTAATGACTTCGGCATTATGAATAGTCATCATTTAACCTTTCTCGGGGTCAGCATTGTCCTCTTATAGCTTCCAATCATCAATTATGCGAATTGGGCCATTGTTGCAATTACTAATAGAACCAATGATAGATCAATACCAATCAACATCAATGTAATTTTCTAATTATACCGATTTTTGATCGCGTGACTAAATTAATGATTCTAATAAGATTCAGAAACTTTTAACTTAAAATCAGTTACCTACTTATTAAACTAACGAATAACTTTATCTATACAAATAAATACAATTGAAGTATCTTTTTCTAATTACAAATTAATAGCTTTTCATTAAATGCATATGAAACTATATAATTTCCGCCTCTTTGTTTGTTCTCGCTAATCTCTGATACGATTGGACCGATTTCAACGGGACTTTCGCCCGCATTAGCCAATAATATTAATTTCAATAAAATAAAAGTGTCACCATCACATTACAACATATATACGTTACCATACCTAAATAATAAAAGCGTTATCATGCTTGATAACGTAGTTGTTATGCCATACATTTAAGTCTAAGCACTATATCTCATCCAAGCAATTAAGAATTAGAAAAGGCAGTGGTATCTATAGCAAACAACTATAGCAAAGCGTATTTGCCGACACAAACGACCGTTTACCTATCCTTTTGTGAAGTCATGAACCAATATTGAAAATTATAAAGTTTTGCAAAAATTTACTCGTAATGCCAATTTGCTAAAATTTTCGACTTAAATTGCTTTTAAACGTGCTTAATATGACATGCATATAATAATATTCATGAGTAGACAAACTTTCCTAAAATGAATATTATAACAAAACATTCAACGTGTACCAATACTTATATGACATGCAAAATGTTTATTTAAACACATCTAAATGGAATTGCTTTAACATAATCGGTAATATGAATCAGGTAGTTTATATAACAAATGATATCTAATTATTTTGTCTACGAACACGTTTCCTTGTTTGTGATTTGTCATACATCACACTATTAGAATTGAAAATTCAAAATTCTAGTTATTGACTTATTCTATTATAATAAGCAAAGAACTCGTAATATTCTCTACAAAATTAATATTTTACAAGCGAACATGGATTATACTTGTTCGTCATAAATTTAAGTGGAAAATATTACTAGATCTAAGAAATGCTATATATAGTCGATTTTCTAAAAAATATGATTCAGTTTCTTTGCTGATTATTTTCGAAAGAGTTTATTTACATATTACATATACAATACAAGTATTTAACATGAACGTGGATGGATGGAGAGAGAGAGGACGGTCAAAAAAAGTTGGATGGATTGTGTGAAAGATGATATGTATAAAAGAGAGTAATATATAAAGAAGAGTAAACTCAGATATGAATGACGTCTGATGGGGATCGGTAAAGAGGGAAGACATACTGTGCCGACCACAAATAATGGGATAAAGGCAACGCAATTATATAAATATATATATATGTATCTTAGTCTGACACCTCCCAGAATCCTAGCGACATGACTGACCAACTATCAATTTATTAGGATCTACTAACATGTAGACATTCATACTAAGGTTGTAGAATTCTATAGACTACGAACAAAAAACTAGATTTCAGTAATTACAAACATGTTCAAGTAATGTTAAAAAACATAGTACAGTTCGCTATATTTTACTAATACTTTAAACGCGAAACTTTGTGAGCATGGA